TAAAAATTGAAAAGTAAATTAATATCTGTGAATTAAAATAACTCAAGCTATTATCATAGGAAATGTAAAAAGATGTAGAAAGAATATAAAAAGATATAGTTATTTATGTTTTTAAATTAAATTCTATTTTTTCTATCAGCTACGAATTCTTATTGTTGCCCTTCCAAGAAAGGAATAATAAAGCCTGAAGGTCATTTGACTGAACTCTAAGCTCTGTGGGAAAAAATTGAAATGAAACCGCCTTTGATCTGTTCTCTTAGAGCCACAGCAGGCTGATGTAATTGTCACCACAGTCTTACCCTGTAGCCTGACTCTATGTAACATGACAAGCCTATGCTATTTTCAGACATAAACATTTTAGCAACAACAACATAAAAGTGTTTGGTTCAATGCCAACAAGAAGTTTTGGCTCACAAGGCTTTCATTAGTGTTAATTAAAAGAAAAATCTGTGTTGTTGATACTAAAATACAGCCACAAGACAATCCATCAAAAAGAAGTTTGTATAAATTATCCCAATGGGAAACGTTCTGCTAAAATCTGACATTTTTATAATTTATAGCCCTTTTTAATTAATGCTTTGTTTCAAATAACTGTTAATATTGTAAGAAGCTAAGATTCAGATCAGCAGGCATGCCAGATCATCAGGCAAGAGCTGCGTAACAATGGAGTGGCCTGCTAGTGTCAGTTTTCAGCACCATGGACAGAGCTTCCAGCAGCAGCATACAGTACTAATAAAATAGTTCTATTCTGTACAGTTATGCATATATTGTGCAATAATTATTTGAACCACATTCAACATATTTCAAAGCTTATATCTGATAAATAAAAATTTTTGTGCTAATATAGAGAAAAGTTTTTCATTAAATAACAATACCTGTATGCCCATGTTTTGTGTATAAGGTTTATGCTCAATAGAGCATAATGAATTGTTAAACTTACTATCAAAGGCAAAGTTTTGCTCAGTGAAAAAGCAAATGATGTCTCAGCATTTAGTTTTTAACTAAAAACTTTTTAGTGTAACAGCTTTCCAAGAAAAACTGTTTCAATCTTAAGCTTAGAATATTGGTTTTCGTCTTTTAAATGGATGATTTAATAAAAAAAATTAAGATTAGCTAAATAAACTTTTTGTGATGGGTTTCTACTACACACCAGAAAAAAGCTACACTAATCAAACCAAAAAATAAAATACACATAAAATTAAATTTGGTGGATGTAGAATATCTCCTTAAACCATAATTGTGAAAAATTGTGTATAAAGCTTATATGTATGAAGTAAAGTGTAGGCTAATAACAAATATTTTATACTTTAAATGTATAGCATTAAAAAAGAAAAACTCATTTTTCATCTTTTTAAACAAAATGAATAATATTTCCTCTCTCCAACAGGAAACTAAGTTAAAGTAGTTGCCTGTGAGTGTATGTTTTGCACTGTGGAGAAGCATCCCTCAACTGTGCTACCGGACTTTTAGTGAAAGCAAATTCAGTAGGGGAATGCCACCAGGTATGCCTGGTTAAAAGGCTTCCAATGGGACAATGCCTCAGGCCTTTCTCTGTGGACACGAGTCATCTCTCATCTAAAGTGAAATATTTCATGTTTTTACCAAGGCCACTGAATAATACGCATGAGATATAGCCCACAGAAAGGTGCCCGCATTGCCTGGAGAAGTTAAATTGAACGAATAGGCTGAGAGATGGATAACAGGAAGATCACACAGCACCAGAATTCTGAAGAATAGAAGGTAAAGCTGGAAAGGAAGGTGAAAGATTAGCATGTGGGTTGCTTATACAGAAATTACACAAAGGCTGGGGGACAATAAAATTTCATACAAATCTGTTCAATATAGTGAACCTAAACACTGCAAAACAAAAGTGCATTAAGTTTAATTTTGATTCATTTTTCTTACCATTAGAGCAGCCCTTGAGCCGCGCCCCTCGGACTGGCGCCCTCTGTAGATCTGCCTTGACCCGAGCCTTTAGACCCACATTTTCCTTTTGCATGGCATTAAGAGCATCGCTGACGGAGTTCACCACCTTCACCATGTTGATCTGGCTGTCTGACAGCAGCTGCAGAACAATGAAAGTGGGAGAGAGAGAAAAACATACTTCAAAACTTTGAAAAAAGAAAAAAACACAACGATCCTTAAACAGCAGATGGGATAACAGTTTCATTACCTTGAAGACAGAAAGTAATTGTAACTTATTTCATGACACTGAATACAGTTAAACATTACACACCCTATCCCAAGTAATTAATATGCACATTGTTGTAGTTTCATGTCTTGCACAGGTTGCTCAAAATTGTATTTAATATGTGCTTGAGCTGGTGGACCTGTCGATTCAGAGCATACTTATCAACCAAAAAGCATCAGAAAAATTGCTTTCATCGTACTGATTTATTTTAAACACATTTACAGTGTTGGGTTTTTTTATGCAGATTCCCAAGCAGTTTTAATGTCAGCATTTCCTTTGAACGTAAAAAAAATATATATAGATCTATATATCTTTAGATATATATATTTATTTTTTTACTCTGGACAGAAAGAAGAGATTTAATGCAGACTGACTTTATTTTAACCTATATATATATATATATATAGATATATATATTTATTTTTTTACTCTGGACAGAAAGAAGAGATTTAATGCAGACTGACTTTATTTTAACCTATTATTGTGTTGTCAAAATTTAATTGTCTAAGCCTCTGTAAAGAGAGAAAATAAGTACCATCTTGGTCAAAGAAATATGAAGCCATTAAGTTGCTAAGTACTTCTAATGGGCATTTGAATTATTTCTTAGACATAGACTTAGACATAGACAGATTTATTTTGTCATTGTATATTTTGTACATTTTGTATACACAAGTGTAGACAAAAATAAATTTCGTTTAGAACAGCTCTCTAGACAGTTTCATTTTTCAAAGTTCAGCCTTGGTAAGGTAAGCAGCAAGTTATTGTTGAGCTGCTACTACTGCCTCCAGCTCCTGAAGCACTTCTCCTGGCTCAGGAGAGGAAGAGGACGATGATGACAATGCTTTGAGGGTGGTAGCCCCCAGGGTTGAAGAGGCTGACTATAGAAGCAGTGGTGCCATCGGCAGGTTTTAGCAGCGATAGACAGTGCTGGACAAGGTGTGGAACCGGGAGGAGCTGGCTGGGGATGTTTAAGCCTTTGGCAGTGAAGCATCTACTAGAGTGCCTTCCTCATTTTCACCTGCAGAGGGATTTGCTTGCCCTCTAGATGCCGAAGATTGCCTGGGAACAGTTTCAGAGGAGCCTCTATTCACACAGAGCTCTTTGTTTCTATCGGCGGGGTACAGCATCAGCCCCCCCAGGCCATTAGCACTGTCCGGTACTGCTGGACGTAGCCAAGACACCGTCAGAATGATTGCGCCGCAGTTAAATATCTCCTTTTTTGAAGAGAGTTCGAGTCCGAGATTATCCATTTTGTTATCCAACGAGCTGCCGTTGGAGAGCAGGACTGATGGAAGCAGTAGTCTGTGGGGATCGCTCTTTAGCTTTGCAGTTAGCCCCCTGTGCAGCCTCACTTTCTCCGTCTCACGCATCTCTTCCTCCATCAGTTATTTTCCGCTGTTGTTTTATTGACATCCATCTGTAGCACTCCGTAGCTTTGTAACGGTCAAAAATGTCAGTATTTAAAACATTTTGTGACTGTAGCTCCAGCAGGCATTGGCGATCATAGATGCTCATTTGATGTCTGGTTTGTATCGCTTTAAGCGGCGTATTTTGTGAAATTTGTCAAGAGGAACTGCTCTTGGCTGCTGCCTTGAATCGGCGCCATGGTGACTAAATAACATATAGATGTACAGAAACATTGACAATGTTTAATACTGATTCATGTTTTTTAAACTAAGAATAATCCAATTTTCATAACATATTTTATAAAATATATTTCCCCCTTGCATAAACATACTGCTTTTTCCAGACTTCTGGCCCGCAGTGGAAGTGTGGGTTAGTGTTGGGGCAGACCTCTTTAAACGTTAGTGTTAAAGTGATATTAAGAATTTGCTGATATTCATTTTATATTGTACTGCACAGCAACAACTTGGTTATGCTCAAAAACAGTACTGACTTGAATATTCGAAAGAATCAGTGAAGTTACCTAAAGATTACCATGAGGTAACAGAGACCGTCTAATTCAAAAAGCATGAAAAAAAACAATAAAAATAACACCTAAGATAGAACA